TGTTGGGTAAATTGGTTGCAGTCATTCTCACAGCACCACTCAGATGGAAGGGGGCGTTATCTTCCCATTCACTGCCGGTGTCGATGCAATCTCAGACCCGGAGCTGCCTGAATGCCACAAACTCGTTCGGGCCCAGAAGAGGCACTTTGTAAAATAGTATGGATTAAAAAAAATCAAAGATCCCCCTTTCCTCTTGACTGCAATTTTTATCTACTTTCATAATTGCAGCCTGGTTATTACTCATATCACAGAGACCACATCATTTGAAAATATTTTGTATAAAATATGAGGCCTTGCAGCACCCACCCATTTGGCCATCTTAATCACCCTGAATCTCAACTCCCCAAAATTGAGTGAGGGAAAAAAAAATTCCTTGGAGAGCTCATTGTCACTTACTATTTCTGATGAATGGCCATTATTCCCTTTAAATTTTAATACGTTCAGAGGAAATAACCATATTGTACAAGCTAATGAAATGTGCTACATGAGCAACACACTCTGAAAAAGCTGATGCTTGGGGTTTGCTTTTGGAATTATCATAACTTAATTTGACAGAGGTTTAAGATACAGATAATAATAGTTATATGCATTAAATATTAATGAGATGCTATGTGATGCTCCTAGCTTACAGCTGGTCAGTGAAAAGGCTCAATAAATGTTCATTCCTTCCCCTTTGCTGGCCCCCTCCAAAAAAAAAAAAAGGCTTGGTAAGAATGGTCTCAGCCTCATCAATTCCCTATGCTCCTCAGAATGTGGTAGCTGGACCGGCAGCATTCCTGGGGAGCTTGTTGGCCCCCAGGAATGCCTGGGCCAAGGCCCCACTTCACATCCACTGCATCAGAATTGGCAGTTTAAGATGATCCCAGTCTTAAACCGGGATGACGGGCTCAGTTGGTTAAGCGTCCGACTCTTGGTTTCATTCGGGTCATGGTCTCATGGTTTCTTGAGGTCAGATTGAGCCCCGTGTTGGGCTCTGTGCTGACAACATGGAGCCTGCTTGGGATCCCGTCTCCCCTTTCTCTCTGCCCCTCCCCTGTGCACTCTCTCTTTCTCTTTCAAAATAAATAAGTAAACTTAAAAAAAAATAAAAAGATGATCCCAGGTGACTCCCGTGCGCATGAGAGTTTGAGAAGCACAGGGCCACTTCTCTGGAGGACTGTTATTTGCAATCGCCTCTCTTACTGGATGGCCCATTCAAGGAAAGACACTCTGCTAGCTGTTCTGTGGGCAGGTGAAGTCAAGATTAGCTTCCATTTGATAGTCGGTTCTACGATCCACTTCAGCGACCATTCTAGAACTGAAGGGAGCCAATCTCTCCTTGTTATTTACTTATGAATGCTTGGAAAAGGAGGTGCGGCCTCACCTGCAACAACCCAGAACAACAAAAGAGTGAGTCATCCCACTTTCACAACTCATAGCTGGGTGAGCCCAGGAATGAATGAAAGGCCAGGTCCATCATTCCTCTGTGAGACAGCTCAGAAAGCACCTCTAATTAAATAAACTCGTTGACTGGAATGAAGAAGTTTCAAGAGGTTCCAACAAGAAAAAGAAAAGAGGAAAAAGAGAATCACTGCATGAATCACTCTAATTTTGGCAATACTCAATGTAGGAAAGAAAGTCTGAGTCTGTTTAAGTGACTAATACCATCAATTCAGAAAAATGATTTAGCAAAAAAGAGAGTTGGAATGTGATCATTTAGGATAAACCACACTCAAAGCAAGAAATGGGACCGGCATGAGCCCCCGTTAAATCCCAAAGGAGTCAGTCACTAACTATTGTTGTACCAGCCCCCTAGACAGAGGTCTTTGGCCAGAAAGTGTATTTCATTTTTATTTAAAAACATTTTTTTAATGTTTTATTTATTTCTGAGAGAGAGACAGACAGTGTGAGAGGGGAGGGTCAGAGAGAGAGGGAGACACAGAATCTGAAACAGGCTCCAGGCTCTGAGCTAGCTGTCAGCACAGAGCCCGACATGGGCTTGAACCCACTAACTGTGAGATCGTGCTGAGCCGAAGTTGGTCGCTGAGCCGACTAAGCCACCCTGGCGCCCTCAGAAAGTGTTTTAAAATTGAATGTAATTCAGGGGTGCCTGGGTGGCTCAGTCGGTTCAGCGTCCAACTTTAGGTTTCAGGTCAGGTCATGACCTCATGGTTTTGTGAGTTTGAGCCCCGTTTCGGGCTCTGTGCTGACAGCGTGGAGCCTGGTTGGGATTCTCTCTTTCTCTTCCTCTCTTTCTTGCTCACGCTGTCTCTGTCTCTCTTAAAATAAATAAATAAATAAATAAATAAATAAATAAATAAATAACTTAAAAAAATAAAATTGAATGTAATTCAGAAGCAACAGTTGGGCAGCAACTCCAAACCTGGAATGCTGGTGGGAATTTCAAACACGGAGCTGATGCATGGTGTTCCCTCAGGAGCCTACAGTCACTCACGGTGTGTGTTGAGAATGAACATCTATTTCAATCTTTAGAAAAAAAAATATTTTCATGCATAAATGCTCTACTTCAGCCAGGGGGTAAGGGCAAAGCATGGAGCATGGGGTCCAGAAAGCACTCTCCAGGTAACAGGCCCTTAAGCAGAAGTCCCTGATGATTTCAAAAGACAAAACACTAAATGCTTTAATTATCTCCTTGACATTTAATGGTTTCTCAAACACTTCCACATAGGCTACTGATGTGTATATGTTCTGGAAGCCTACAAAGAAGGTAAGGAGGTGCTTTTCCTCCTAACTTAACAGAAGAGGCCTTGCAGCTCACAGCTCAAATGAGTGAGTCATGCTTACATAGCTAGGAAGTGGCAGAAAAAAGAATGTGAACTTGGATTCCATACCTCAGTCTAGGTCTTTGTCTACTACCCCATGCTAAGTGCTAAGTTGCATACAAAGCATATGCACATACCTTATTTCACTTTAATTTCAATCTTAAATTCCCCTGTGGAGTGGAAAGCAGCAAGGGCTACTGATTCCTATTTTCAAATGAGAAACTTGTCAAGGGTTTCTCAGAAATGGGTCCTTAGGAAATCTTTGGGTTCCTAGACCGGGGAAGCTTTCCTCTGCCCCTCTGATGTGAGTATTCTTGACAATTCATTTCCTCCTCTTCTCGAAGACCTGGCTTGACTTTATTTCACAGCCTTGCCTGCCATTAAGGGTATCCATTTGACTGAATTCTGGCCAATGGAATGGGTGTGCAAGGAACACACACTTCTTGTAAGGCCTGGTCTATGAAAGTATCCCATGTAGACTCCTCTAATCCTCTTTGTTCCTGGCTGGCTGGAATGGTGAACAATGACAAACATGGAAGTCATGCATTGGTGATAACAGAACCTCAGACACCTGAGGTCCCTGAATGACTACATGGAGCAAAGTCACCTTTCCCTCCCACCTTACCATCAACTTCAAACTTCCCTGGACAACCATTTGATTAAGAAAGAAAATTTGGGGGCTCCTGGGTGGTTCAGTCAGTTAAGCATCCGACTTCGGCTCAGGTCATGATCTCACGGTCTGTGGGTTCGAGCCCTACGTTAGGCTCTCTGCTGACAGCCTGGAGCCTATTTCAGATTCTGTGTCTCCTCCTCTCTCTCTGCCCCTCCTACCTCTCTCAAAAATACACATTAAAACATTTTTTTAAAAAAGAAATAAGACTTTTGTTGTGTTGCGTCATGACATGATTGGGTCAATTTGTTTAAGCAGTTAAATGATCGAGGCTGCGATACACAGCCGGCCTCCCTGCCTGCCAGCTCATTTGGGGGAACAGCGGCAGCCATGTGAGTCTTGCTCTGTTTCACAGACACTATCAAATCCATCCCTGCAGTGACTGCTGAGGGTGCTCATAAATCATTGAGCCAAAATAACGCGGGGAGATGAGCAACCAGGTACAGCCACTGGAGGCAGTGTAGAGAAGTGGAGGAGATTAACTCTGTGAACAAACCTCAGTCTGGAGTCCAGCTCTGTCATTTCTCAGTTATGCAAACTCTGGCTGGTCCCTGAGTTGCAGAGTCTTAGTTTCCTCATCTATGAAACGGTGACGATAAACAACAATAATGTTATGGTGAACTTTAAGTCACGTCACAACTTAAGTGGTACACTTGGCACAGAACTGGGCACACAGAGGACCTCTAGCAACCAGCAGGCATTATTAATATTTATCATGTGCACTGTGGACTTTTCTGTCACAACTAGAATGGTAGCTGAAGGGAATATGGTGGTTAGTAATAGAAGGTCAGAGACAAGACCAAATTCTTCAATTTGGTATTCCAAAGAGGACACAAAGGTATTCCACAATTTGGAATTCCACAAAGGACAGTTACTTGGCAACAAAAAAGACACAGGTAGGTGCTGTTGATGCAAACAGGGCAGATGAATTAGTGAAACAAATAGAAGCAGGTTCGCAGGTCTCCAGCACTATTGGGTTTTACTCATAATCCTAGTCCAACTTGTCAAGTAAGATCTATTTATCAGCAGAATCCCTTAGTCATGCAATTGTAGTGAGCCCTAGATTGGATTTTACTAATAGTCTACATAAACAGAGCAGCGTGTAACTCAAGATAAGGACATTATTATGCCTCTCAAAGGCTTTAAGAGAACTCCAGAGGGTTAGTAAGAATTACATTTCCTTCTCTATTGGTCACTGGCTTTAAAGATAGGGTCATAATGTTTGCTCTATGACTGCAGGCTTATTTCTCTCATTACTTTCTTTGCCTAGCAATTTTGAAACTACTTTCGAAAGTTTCCATTTACCATAGTGCTTCGTGAATATAAAACACCGACACACAGACATATATATGGACACCACAGTGTTACCTCTGCTTCAAATCCAATCATCCCTTCACCAAAATCAAATGTGCCTATACACAACTATAGCCATGCGGCACACTATTTTCAAATTTCACGGCACTCCAAATTCTCATGATTCTCTCAATCGGTACTGCATTTTAAAAATGACAATCACTAAATCCAACCGTATTTAGCTACATTCTGTGTTACCAGTTAGGTTCACTCACGTTAAGAGCAAGTACATTCTTCCTGGGATTATCACACCATCAGGAGCTGCCTTTTCTGCAGGCAAAACAAAAGGGGATGATTAGATCTGAAGGAACTCTCAAAGATGCGCTGTTGCGATCTTGACCATGTTTCTCAGCCACAGCCCTTGTAGGTATTTTGGCATTCAAGCCGACACATGGCAGGCAGACTGCAGCTGCATTCTCTGGGGCAACTGACAAAATGCCCATTGCCTCCCTGCAGAGCCAACTGGCCAAAGACCCGCGCATCTGCCTCTGAGCTGTCTCATTTCCATTCTGTCTTCTCCGGGGACTGTGGCCCTACTTGGTGCCATTCTGTCTTTAACACCCCTTGCAAATCTTCCCTTTTCACAAAGAGGCCGGGCCTCGAAGTCAGAATCATGGTGGGTGAGAGAATCTATCACGAAACGCCTTTGTTTTCATGCTGTAGTATTGGTTCCTAAGGTTGAGTTCCCATTTATGAAAAGTGCTTCTAGCTTTCCATTAAGGGAATTATGCAAGTATCGATAGACACACATATACATATATATTCTTTGTAGATATATTTAAGTGAAATAAGTCCATTAAAAGAAAAGTATTAGGAAAAAAAAAATAAAAAAAAAAAAAGTATTAGGAAATTATGTGCAAAAATCATGAAGATGTAAGCTAGTGACTAAAGTTGGGAAACATCATTTAAAAGCAACATGAGCCTCAAAATGTGATGTAGGGTTAGAGGCCCTGCATTGCTGTAGGCATTCTGTATACACCGGGGCTTTGTTGATTAAAAAAACACAAAAACAAAAAACCCCACAGAATAAAACATCTGCAAAGAAGAGTCCGAGAGGCTGCTGGGAGCCTCTGGTTTCTGTTTCACACGCACAATTAGCAGTTTTGGGAAGCAGCCTCTTGGAGAGAAGTGTGTCCTGAAGTGTCCCCTTGCATTTCTTTTTCAGCTGAAACACAGTGGCTGGAAAGCAAGCCACCTTTGCCCCAGTTCATGAGCCACGAGCACTGCCTCTTATGGTGCCCAGGTGACAGCCTGTCTCCGAAGGCATTCTAGAAGAAATGGCAGCTGCTTTTACTAAGGATAATGAGATCTTCCTCAGTTTTATGGAATGTGGAGCAAATTTTTCTTAAGTGGTCAAAAATAACAGGTTTGCTTCTTGTGGTTCTCTTTTCTCTGAAATGGCTCCCTGGATGCCAAGGGTAGTGCTCATACCACTCGCTCACCCAAGTTTCGAATGAAAACTTAATGTCTACCTCTGTGTCCTCACTCAAGCTGCAGCCTCAGCCCCCGGCCTGAAACCTCACTCTCATCAGGAAAGAACTGGGTCCACAGACAAATACACAGGAGACAAGGTGCCTAGCAGGACTCTGAGAAAGAAGAGTTTTCTTCTCTCTTTTTCCATAGTTGAGTGAATGTTAAGATACAACAAAATGGTCCCATTTTTTTCAACACAAATTAATCCTGCCAGCCACAGGAAGACTTCCATTTGTTGGAAGATCACCTCAATTTTGTCACCGGTAAGCAGGGTTTTTGTTTTTATTTTATCTGACCCCAACATCAAAGGGATGTTGTAAGAAACATTTATATGATATCTTTAAAGTGCTTGTGGTTCTCAGGGCTCCTGAGCAGTGCTCAGTCAGCTGAGTGCCCAACTCTTGATTTCAGCTCAGGTCGTGATCTCAGGGTCATGGGATTAAGCCCTGTGCTTGAGATTCTCTTTCCTTCTGCCCTCTCACCTTCACTCCAAAAATAAAATAAAAAAATTTTTAAATTGTTTGTGGTTCTCAGGTGGAAAACTTGGTGTTTGGGGTAAGACTATAAAATAAAGCATCAAAGGGCGCCTGGGTGGCTTAGTCGGTTAAGTATCTGACTTCGGCTCAGGTCATGACCTCGCGGTTCGTGGGTTCAAGCCCAGGTCGGGCTCTGTGCTGACAGCTAGCTCAGAGCCTAGAGCCTACTTCAGATTCTGTATCTCCTTCTCTCTCTCTGACCTTCCCCTGCTCATGCTCTCTCTCGCTCTCTCAGAAATAAGCAAAACATTAAAAAATTTTTAAAAAGCAACGCATCAAAAATTATAAACAAATAAGCAAACACCTTTTCTCTCTAATAGTTACCTTTGCCTTGGAAACTATATATGAGATTTCATCAGCCTGGTAGCCAAACCCTCTAAATAGAATATCATGATACTCCATGATATCGTCTCCTGCTATTCTTTTATGCCTCCAAGCCAAAAACAAACAAAAACAAAAAAAATCAAAAACAAAACCAGAAACAAACAAACAAAAAAGCAACCAACTTTGCACTGTTCCACTACCTGCTTTCTTACCTCTGTGTTTGCTTAGGCTGTTCCCACTGCCTGGAACACCCTCCCTATTGGCTGCCGAGGAAGCCTTTGCTATTTCTCTTTTCTCTGAAATACATCTAGAGTCTATCCACATTTCTTGTCAGCATTTCTTATACTAACCTACTGTATAGGTGTGTATCAGAACCACCTAGAAGATATGTTAAACCACTGATCATTCAGCCCCAGCCTTAGAAATTCTGATTTAATGTGTACAGAACGTAGCCTGGAACTTGGAGGGTTTTAGAAGCTCCAAAAGAGATTCTGGCACACAGTGAAGTTTGAGAACCATTGTTATAGACACTTACGATCTTCTCTAGGCCTCTGCTATTGGACAGCGAACGTTAAGTTTGTCCACCATGCTACAGACGGACGCCAGTGGGAAAAGCCTCAGGACTTTTCGTGTTCAGCATTCTGAATGGATCTGAGCCTTGGCTTTGCTAAAAGCTAAGGCTACCCTGGTCTTGTTCCAGGATGCCTACATTCTGATAGATTTTCAGTCTGATTCTGTAACATTATTGTGCAGGTTATTAGAAACAGACCACCAGGAACAGGAAGGCATCACAATTGGGCCAAGTTACGGATGGCTTCTGCATCTAGGAAGTGTATCATGCAGGCTATTTCAGGTTCTTAATTAGACATGGAAAAAATAGCCATCTGGTGCCACCAAGTATGGACATTACAAACTTCTTCTCCAATATCCACATGAACATAATTTGCCTCTTAATAAACCAAATGCCACCCGTGAGATGAACTGTTGTTTTCAATATGGCGTCTCCCAGTATGGCCACGCATAACTATTTCTTGACACACACATGGGTACAGTCTGGTCCCAAAAACAAACAGTTCAGAGTGACTTTAAATGGGCAACATTATAATTCATAGGAAAATCTAACACCTGGCCCCGAGCGTAATCAGATTGATTTAAAGGCCTAATATACCCAGCATGATCAAGAGTTCTCAAAATCTCTGCTAGACTCAGGTTATTTTACTGTTGTTTAAAGGACACTGTCAGCTTTCTTCTTGGTGAGTTCTTCCTTCTGACAGTTTACAGGTTTTGTTTTATACTCCATCTCTCTCATCCTCCCAGAGGCTTAAATCAGTGAGAAATGGCATGTCAGTTTCTCCTAAAACATTATTAATGACAGACCAATTTCTGCAACATCTGAACTCACATGTATATCCAAGCCCATCTTTGAGAATGTTTCAAATCAGTCTTTCCACCATATGTGTCACTCTGCTTGAAGAAAAATGACATTCTAGATTTCATGGAGAAACTGCCCAGATGTAGGCTGTGGCTAACACAAATTGGTCAAACTGAATGTCAGGGAGGTGCAAGTCATTTTCTTTTCATTAATTCCCTCTAATAACTTCTTCCTACCTCATTTATCCCTTTCCCATCTATGTCTATCTTTTTTTTTTTTTTAATACACTCTTAGGCACTTTTGTTCTCTCTTCCTTACTCTATCCTCTGACATCTCATTCTTTTTTTTTTATCTCACAAGTTCAGTCTCTGGTTTTGGGGCGACCTCTCCCTATATGTGAATCTACGGAAGATGCTGTCATCCCTTCATCTCCTCCTTGAGCCTGGCCATGCCCTGCACTGGTGGCAGCAGAAACCACAACTCCCTCCAGAAACATATTCCAGCACATTCCAGATTCAGGCTTCTGCCAAAATAAAAATATGCATGCAGATGGACAAGAACTAGAAAGGGAGAAGCCCAGAAAAAATCGAAAATATTCTCTAGCATGGTGAAATTTCAGGAGATGCTTTGTTTATTTCCTGCACTGTTGTTATAGCTTTGTTATGGCAGTGTTTTATAGCAGAAATTTTAACTTTTAAATTAAAAAAAATACACAGCTTTAAAAAAAAAGCTGCTTTCAAGTCTCTAAAACATCTATGAATGGTTTGGGGGGTAAAGTGGTGGGGAGAGGTGGGTAATTCAAAGCGTGAGACACAATGAATATCTCTGTGGAGGCATTCTCGGTGCCTGGACATAGGAAATGGGTCCCTTCCTTGTGTACAATTGAGTCTATGAATTACCAGATTACGCATGCTTTCCCCCAAGGACCGTCTCTTTCACTCTTGCAGGATTCAAGATGACGCGGTTCTCACAACCTTCGGAAGCCCTGCATTTGGTTCCCCAGCTCCTCTGTGCTATTCCCTCCGCTTCTGGCTTCCACCCCACTTCACAGCTGTGCAGTGACATCTAACAGTTCCCGGCAGCAGATGCTGCCAGGAGCAGGTGCCAAAGCAGTGGAGACTGAGAAACGGAGAAGACCCCATGAAGGGCTGGGCTCTGCCTCACAAGGCCCAGCTGTCCTTCTTCCTCGGTCCCAGGGACGGGGCAGGCTCAGCAGATCACACTAATACTGTTCTCATTTATAAAATTGCTTTTACTTTTTTGAGAATTCTTTGAGATAATACATATTAAATGGCCTAACATGGTAAATTTTCAATATATGTTCATCTTTATCACACATCCACCTAGGATGTGTAGGCCTACAGCTGTCCTTCTTCCTCGGTCCCAGGGACGGGGCAGGCTCAGCAGATCACACGAATACTGTTCTCATTTATAAAATTGCTTTTACTTTTTTGAGAATTCATTGAGATAATACATATTAAATGGCCTAACATGGTAAATTTTCAATATATGTTCATCTTTATCACACATCCACCTAGGATGTGTAGGCCTACAGGGCTGAACCA